AAGCGTATGCGGCGAAGATTCTCGGCGTACAGGCTAACAAGGTCGTCGCCCGAGTCAAGCGTCTGGGTGGAGGATTTGGCGGCAAGGAAACGAGATGTGTCCAGCTCAGCACCATGATAGCCTTGGCCGCCCAGAAAACCAAGCGCCCTGTTCGATGCATGCTGAACCGGGATGAGGACATGGTCATGTCCGGGCAACGCCATCCTTTCCTTGCGAAATGGAAAGTCGGTATCAACAAAGACGGAAAACTCCAAGCACTCGACGTCGACGTGTTCAATAATGCTGGCTGGTCCTTCGATCTCAGTGCGGCCGTATGTGAACGGTGCATGACCCATATCGATGGATGCTACAAGTTCCCCAATGTCCACGTCCGTGGCCGCTTGTGCAAGACCAACACAATGTCAAACACAGCTTTTCGAGGGTTTGGGGGCCCTCAAGGTATGTTCATTGCCGAGTCAATGATGTCAGAGGTCGCCGATCGCCTAGGCATGGCTGTAGAAGATCTTCGTGAAATCAACTTCTATGAAGTCAATGATAAGACGCACTTCAACCAAACTATAGAAGACTGGCACGTGCCAATAATGTACAAGCAGGTGAAGGAGGAATCGGACTATGCCAACCGGCGAAAGGCTGTTGAGGAATTCAATGCAAGTCACAAATGGCGCAAGCGAGGGCTTGCTCTTATTCCAACCAAGTTTGGTATCTCCTTCACGGCGCTTTGGTTCAACCAGGCTGGCGCACTAGTTCATATTTATCACGACGGATCGGTTCTTGTCGCTCATGGAGGAACGGAAATGGGTCAAGGTCTTCATACTAAAATGATCACGCTTGCAGCCGAGGCTCTACAGGTACCCATGGAGGATGTGTTCATCTCGGAGACTGCTACGAATACGGTTGCAAACACTTCGGCTACCGCGGCTTCAGCATCATCCGATCTGAACGGGTATGCGGTGTGGAACGCTTGCGAACAAATCAATGCCCGTTTAGCTCCGTATAGAGAAAAGCTTGGCCAGAAGGCAACGATGAAGGAACTCGCACACGCCGCTTATTTCGACCGTGTGAACTTGAGCGCGAACGGCTTTTATAAGACCCCCGAGATCGGGTACAAATGGGGTGAGAACGTAGGTAAGATGTTCTTCTATTTTACACAAGGTGTCACGGCTGCAGAAGTGGAGGTAGACTGCCTCACTGGAACTTCGACATGCTTGAGAGCAGATATCAAGATGGACGTCGGCCGTTCGATCAACCCCTCCATCGACTACGGTCAGATTGAGGGTGCATTCGTGCAAGGCATGGGCCTTTTCACCATGGAGGAGAGTCTATGGCTCCGCAATGGACCCATGGCGGGAAATCTATTCACCAAGGGCCCTGGCGCGTACAAGATTCCAGGCTTCCGTGACATACCTCAGGTTTTCAACGTCAGTCTGCTCAAGGGCGTGACATGGGAGAACCTCCGCACAATCCAGCGGAGTCGAGGAGTCGGCGAGCCTCCCCTGTTCATGGGGAGCGCCGTTTTCTTCGCCATACGAGACGCTCTGAAAGCTGCACGTGCAGATTATGGCGTAAAGGCTAAATTGGGCGTTGAGGGTGGTGAGGACGACGGCTTATTGAGGCTCGAGAGCCCTGCCACGCCTGAGAGGATCCGATTGTCGTGTGTTGATCCTATCATGGAGCGGGCGCGAGTCCTGCCTAAGGAAGGAGAGAAGAGCTTCTTTGTCGCCATATAGTGCCTTGTATACCTACCTAAGTACGTAGTTTACAGGAGGCCCTCGAATATGAATATCAAAAAAAAGTAGAGCATAAACAAACATAAACAAATCATTTTTAAAATGGCCACCTAGATTGTATTATAGAACACCGCTATCAGCCAACTCTGTACTTGATGTGTGTGCCTCCGCTTCTGTTATTGCCTGTCTGTATCCGAAGGAGAAAAGGGGGGCGAGTTGCCAAGACTAGCCAACCCTTACATCATCATGTTATTAAGCAATACCGCTCAATACATACCCCAGGATTCAAGGGTCAGAAATGTTAACCCGATACTTAGACATGACAGAACGGGATAATGGTGTCGAGGTGCCGTGGAGCCGCACCAAACTTTAAGCACCATTCGCGGTTTACTTCCTCATTTGGCAATTTATTAATCGCTTCTTGCATCATGAGATTATTAATTGAAAGACCACTAAGAACTTATAGTCCAAGGTTTGTAGTCTATCGCGAGAGTCTGGGTGGTATCTTGATGGCTTGCTTGGCGTTAGTCAACGACGGTGTTCGATTTCATCGAGTGCCCGGGCAAAATTGTTTGAGGCAGATAAATATATAAAAGCGACTCCGTCGTTTTTCAAGCACTTGGAGAACAAGATTAACCACATCACTCAACACGCTTCACCAGTCTCAATAAGCTGTGCATCTAGTAGTAAATCAACAACATCCACGCAAGAAGACACGAATTATAATGGCGAAAATAGCTATCGTCGGCGCATCGGGCAAACTAGGCGGAGCCACCCTCGCGGCGCTGCTCACGCACAAGCTCGCATCGCCATCTGACATCATCGCCCTAACGTCGTCAACGCCAGACTCAGCGACATGGGCCAAACTCGCCGCGACCGGCGTGCAGGTCCGCCATGCGCGGTTCGAAGAGCCGGCGACATTCGAGCGCGCTCTGGATGGCGTGGATAGGTTCTTCCTAGTCTCGACGCCGAACATCGGGCTCGACTACGGCGTCGCGATGGATTTCGACGGCACTACGGCAGAAGGCAGCAGCAGCAGCGCGACTAACACCAGCGCTAACAGGGGCCGCGAAAGCCACCATAAGCAAGCCATCGACGCAGCTGTCAAGGCCGGCGTCAAATGGATCACGTACTCGAGCCTAGCATACGCGTTCTCGCCCTCCGTCTCCGCCGCAGAGGCCATGAACACGAGCAAGGCCGGCGTTATGCGCGCGCACCTGCGCACCGAGGCGTATCTGCGCTCTGTGGGCGCGGCGCACGGGATCGCCGTCACGATCTTGCGTGAGGGGCTGTACAACGAGTCCTGGCCGCTGTACCTCGGCAACTACGACGTCGGCAACGCGCGCGGCGAGAGGGACATCGTGCCGCTCGCGGCCGACGGGAAGGTCTGCTGGTCGGCGATCCACGACCTCGGCGTTGCGAGTGCACTTGTCCTCTCTTCAGGCAATAGTGGCGAGGAGTTTGTTGGCAGGACATTCTACCTGTCCACGCGCCCCGCGACCGCGAAGACGGTCGGTGAGATCGCGCAGCTGGTGGGGAAGGCCAGGGGCAAAGATGTTCGTGTTGAGATTGTTGGGAGGAAGGAGCATGAGCGATATTATGTTGAGGAACGAGGGACGCCGAGGCCGGCGGTTGAGTGGTGGGTTGGTACGTATGAGGCGCTCGAGGCGGGGGAGGCCCTTGTTGATGACCCGATGCTGGAGAAGCTGTTGGGCCGCGTTGGGCTGAAGCCCATCCCGGTTGAGGAGACTGTTGCTGCTATGGTTAAGGGATAGGGGCTTCGGGAGACTGCGTCAGGTTTTTTCATGGGGTTATGGAGGTTGAAATTACGGAGTAGTGCCTGATGAACAAACTCTCATGTAGGTGTAATTAGTTGGACGAGCTGTAGACACGCCTTGCTATGAAATGTTAATGATCTTGTTAGAGCGGATAGTCGTTTCTAGTTCATGAATAGACGGTCCTATCTTATCCATACCACCCGCTTAGGCTATCCCAAGTTAACATTATAAATTTGAGGCCTCATATTTTCGCTAAAGATGATTTGAATGTCGCTGAGAAACAAAATTCTGGCTCATGACGAGTCAAATAGAGGGGTTTCACTTCAGCAACTTTGCCACGAGTTGTTAGATAACATAACGCAATGTTTCTTCACTATGTGTCTGCGTATATAATGGATCGTCCAACCGTGGCCCCTCGCATTGTCAAATACGTCATGATCAGCATTATTATAGACGTGATTATGTAAACAATCATCTTGGTGAATGCTTGAACCAACTTACACTCTAGCTTCTTTCATCAAAGCCTTTCGCACAATGTCTAAGCCCTTACGCGTTTAGGATTATAAACTAGTACTTGCTTACGACCGTCTTATACGACACGACGATGAGTTATGTTACTAGGCCACGTGCATATTTCTGTTTTTACAGTGATTTCATATATCCTATCCCTTAACGCCTATGACGCACTCTTGTATGCCATAGGGATATAATATACTTTCCGTGGTTGCATGATATCATAGTGTCATTAGGGAAATTCCAGCTGCAGTGACCTAAGAGTGCATCTATGTGAGCTCTCTACCGTTATAGAGCTCGAAAGAACCGGAGATATTAGGATGTTAACGGGCCTACCATTGCCTCGCGAGGAAGCACGAACTCGCAATATGGAAGGAATGGGCCTATCGCCACACGCTCAACCCCCAAGGCTGAGCCTCCATCGTCAGTAACGAATCCTAGCTTGCTGTACTGAAAGCCCCTGGGTTAGCCCAGGCCTTTCTTTTAAGTCCCTCCTAACCTGTAGGTTGTAGCATCAAAGCATAACGTGTCAGCCGTAGGGCAGAGCAAAGTAAAGCACGCGAATAGCGTGTTAATTCGACGCAAACTGGTCTATGAAACCCATAGCCTTTTGGAATCATTTTTGGGTATATTTGGATAATGCAGTCTCATAGAAGTATATGCCCCGAAAACTACGGAGAGGCATGGACAATGGAAGGAATACTTGGAAAACCTAACCAAGACTCAAAGTCTATTATAGAGTTCAAAATTCAATCAAGGGGAGTACAGGTTAACGAAGCTGACCTTAATTATAGATATGTGGGCTTGATGACGCCAAGTAAGGGCTTTCGGAGAACGCATACCGTAGACTATATTTTAACCGATCTATCCTGTGGGATATACCAATCCTGTACTCTGTGTTTTAGTTGCGTAATAGTACGAAGAAAAGAAATACGAGAATCAACTTAAAAGAAAAAAGGAGTTCTCTTAGCGAGAATAGTGTTGATCAGAGTGGGACTCGAACCCACGCGGATTGCTCCACCGCGAATATTGTTCACGATACCCTAATACACCGCACGATGATATTATTAATGGTATTGCCTGAACACGGCGCCATAACCACTCGGCCATCTGACCATCAATGTGTGATCCTGGTGATCCACCAACTGTTGGAAGATCGTGAGTTTGTTTGACGTAATTACCGGGGTGGTGTTTGGGGTTGTGGGACTTAATACGACCTTCTGGTCTGACCTTGTTTGGTTGGGTCTTCGGGTCTGGATTGGAGTCAAAGGACAAAAGTCATACACGAAAGTGATAATGCAACTACAACTGTAGCATGTGAGAGTCTGTTTCTGTTTGACAGATTGTTGAATTCGGGAGTGAGGCTAGAGGAGGCGTCGGAGTCCGGAACACTGATGATGGTAGAGATAAAGGGTCCGTGCCCGTCTTTGTTCGTTTTGGACGATTGTCGAAAGTAATTAGTGGATAATCACGTAAAAGTAACCCTGAGCCAAATCAAGCCATCGGAGCTTATTGAATATAAACAAATACTAAATATAAAAATAATATAATAAAATGCTATTATAAAATCTTATTAGTAATTGCTTTAAAATATAGCTTATATCCTTATCAAGCTCTTGCGGCATACTATTACGCCTCATACGCTAATCTTTCACTCTTCGAACAGTTACCGGGAGTCCGTTTCTACCAGAGGTCCCGATGATAAACTGATCGCTTGTACACGTAAGGTCGCCAAGTGCTGAACTATCGAAGACGAGATCAAAACGCTCTACAACTGCAGCAATGGTCACGTACAGTTCCGCCCACGCAAGACTAGTAGGCACATAGAGTTAGCAAGTGCAGACATGTCGTTGTGATTCATGACTGTGTACAGCATAGAATTGGATAAAAGACTGAAAGATAGTGATAGAACGCTTACTACATCCCAAGACAGTTCCTCGGTCCCTTCGAAAATGGTGCATAGAACTTCTCTAGCCTCCGCCGCTCTTGCAAGTCCAACCATCTTTGTGGCTGAAACTGTTCCGGGTCCGGATAGATATCTGGGTCGCGATGCATCATATACGTAGTCATTCCCAGTGGCGTCCCCGCAGGAATACGTCGCCCCCTAAAGAATAGTTCACGATTAGATGCTACTCGGTTTGCCCTTGTGGCCGTCGCTGGGCCAAGCCGTAAGCCTTCTAGCAATACTGCCGTCAGGTAAGGCAGCTGTTCAAGGCTAGACAAAACAAGCTTAGATTCCCGTTCACCTTGTCGTGTAGAAGTGAGTTCAGCCCTGAGTCGACGAAGAACCTCGGGATCGCTGTATATGTGATAAAGTGTCAAGCGGATGCTGTGAGCTGTTGTCTCGAAGGCAGCACCTGTTATAGTTCCCACCTCATCGAAAATACGCTCGAAACTCTTTTCCTCCTTGGGAAGATCAGAGTCGAAAATCTGATGGACAATCGTTCTGGGGGCGTCGGGGTCTCGCTTTCCATTCGCTAACGCCGAATGTATGGTAGAACAGTTGCCTACCATATCCTGTTCGCGCATTAGATAAAATCATGCCTAAGGATATGAAAACGCCACTTACTTTAAGGAAGTTGAAGAAATTCTTAACGCCATTGTCGGCTGTCCGTTCCACTAGCCACATGGGTATGGATTTCATAAGTGGACCATACCAGCGCAGATGTTTCGTTGTACGCCAGAGACTCCCCGAATTCTGGAATATAACTGCTAGGCTTTGGTTAAAGTCTTGAAGCTCAAGATTGTTATACCTTTTCCCCAGTATAAATTCGGTAGCAACATCCCGTGTCAGAGCGCTAATTGCAGCACTGAGACTGAGCTCCATCATGTTAGACTCGTCGGCAAACTCATCGATACGAGAACAGAGCTTCTCGACGAGGCGCAAAATGATGTCCGACTTGGCGGCTACGTTGGCTTTGGAGAAGAAGGGGTTGACTGCGGCTCGTCGATGTTTGTGTATGTTATGGTCAATAGCACAAATGGTCGATAAGGGAGCGCCGAACGCATCGTAAGCCCACGCGTATTTGTCCCACTCTCCTTCGCGGCTATATATCTTCTCGTGAAAGCCGGGATCGCTGATATGAAGCTCATATGGACTGATACGGACAATGGGCCCTATGAGATAATTAGATGATGACAATGGAAACGACGGCAACGGACGTCAGAAGGCACCGTATTTCTTGTGCATTTCGGCGATTTTGAATGTATACTGGCCATTGCACACCACATCGTAGTATGCTTCAAAGCTTCGTGTCACAGCTGCAAGCTTTGGTCCTGGGAACTTGGCGAGTGGGTGGAAGAACAACCGGTAGAAGGCAACGGTCGAAACCAGAATAACACCACCCGCAAAAACGTAGGGCCAGTATAGAGAGGCCATGAATTCGTTCATTTGTGGCATTTTCAGATTCGGGGTACTACCATCCCGGAGGCCCAAAGTCACGACGAGGTAGGTCGCTTTGATCGAGGTGCGCAATAAAAAAAAAAAAAAAAAAAAAAAAAAAACAGAGACAGCTGGTGTACTAGAAAGTCTAAGTTGGACGGTTCTCCGATCGGCACTGAAAGCAGGCTGTTTAGGGTGGTCATGCGTTGAGACAAGTCGGTTTTCGAATGCGTGCCGCGCTGGCGGCAAGCGGTAGGGTGGGTTCATGGTACCCCAACTCTGCTTGAATGCCCCCTCTTTTCGCAGTGTTTGTTCCTTCATGGTCAGTCCATATTAGACGTAAAAAGTGCCTACCTACTGTATGTATCTGGGGCTGTTACAAAATCTCGTGTTATAACGAAGCAACGAAGGACCATAAGCGCTGTGCCTCGTTCCATACCGAATGCGTTGCAACTAACACCAATCCCGGGAGGCGGGAGGACGTTTCCGATGCTAGGGTTATGATGTAGGTAGTAGATTCAGCGAGTGCCAACAGTCCAAGCTGTGCCACTTGAGAACTCCAAGACAATGAATACCATCTCTCCTTGGAGAGAGCATGTAAAATTTAAAATCTTGTTCAATATGACTCTTTTTCTTCACTCGCACTCGATCCCAACCCCATTCTTGAACCCTCCCATGCCTTACCATGCTACACCAACCTCGCGAATCTGCAATGCCCAGTGACGATATTGATCGCAAATCGCTCATCATTGGCCTCACATGGGCACTCACATCGACGTGTCTGATCATTACAGGGGCGAGACTCTATCTTCGTCTTAAAATTCTGAAGTCACTGGGTATTGATGATTGGCTCATGTTCGTGGCTGCGGTAAGATGAACACTACTCCAAATCCGCGATGACGACAAGTTACCCTGACACCAAAACTCTAGGTTGGACAAGCCGGTTATGAGGTTTGCATCACAGTGGCCTATAGCTAGGGTCTCGGGGCACACGATCGAGATCTCACATTCAATGAGCTTGTCAACATCCTAAAATGGGTTTGGATCTCAGTATTGCCTGGGACGGTTTCCACACTGATCGCAAGAATAACGATTGCAATATTACTTTTACGCCTATTTGGAACCAATATCTGGTTCAGACGCTTTATACTCCTCTATACGCCTGTTCAGACAATTGTCGCCGTCGGCTTCATCGTGATTGTTTGGACTCAGGTGAGCCCCATCGAAGGGCTCTGGAACCCACTTGTGGAGGCGAGACGATGGGATCCCCGTATTCAACAGTACGCGGCATATTTCGCGCAATGTAAGCTTTTCGTCTCTGGAAACTTTGTTAGATACTATGTATTGACCTAATAACAGCGCTTCTTACGTTTGCGGATCTTACCTATGTTCTCTTCCCAGTGCTCATTATCTGGCGACTCCATATGCCAACCCGGCGCAAGCTTGGACTCGTGATTCTATTAGCATTATCTCTTGTCACGTTGACTGCGTCAATTCTTAAAACGGTGACATCTCAGACATTAAGTTCCTCAGCTGAGGATGTGCAATACAATGCCAGCTTGGGTGCTCTCTTCGCAGCCCTAGAGCAGAGTTTGGTCATCATTATGGGTTGCGTCCCGCCACTACGACCATTAGGAGCCATGACCATCAACTCCCTACGCAGCTTTAGTTCGGCATTTACATCCTTGGTCGATAAAGCCAAGTACGGTGAAAGCACAGGGTCATCACAGTATCGTGAAAGAGGTGATTCGGCATATTACGACTTGGAGAGAATGGATACTAGAAAGTTGGGGGTATTACACATGGCACAGAATGCTGCTGAACATTCATTCATGGTGACACGAGTTGATGCAAGCGCAGACAGTATAAGCGATGCTCATAGCATACGGCGAACTGACCAGTTTTCTGTCTCGTTTGGTTGAAAAGGTGGGTTGTTGTTCGCTCTTTCTCATGATGGGGATCTACTGTGGGCGGTGAACGTTGATGTGTGGAATCAAACATGTCACGTCAACAATCATGCGTCGTTTCCATAGCACAGTTCCATCGCACCTTTGCTATCAGGAGTGGAAGGCGGTAATACTCACGATCTACACGTTAAGTGATCGAAGTCTGTATATAAGACCTTCTCTCTTGCTGTCAAGTTGTAACCGTAACCTAGGCTTCTAGATAGTCTAACGAGATCACATGTACTACTCTTGACATTGGCTGTCCTTAAGGCACCTTGAGATTGCATTTCTTTATGTGGGCTATTAACAAGTCTTGTGAAATATCAAACGCAGCTTCTATTCTAACTTGTGTTTCTAGATTTTGGGTGACAGCCAGCCACTGGCCTGACTAGGTATAAACAACTGATCACACAAACAGGCATACTATGATTTTTCGTGATGGATTATCAATCTAACTATCTTCCCTGGATCATCTTCACTAGTTTTTCTCTCCTTAGAATAACAGTCATCGGTACTAAATATTTCACAGAACTACTGCCTTATGCGTACGCCCATGACGCTTTCATAGCTCTCTGGGTTATACAAATAGGTACCGCAGAGGCTCAAGTCCGCATCTTCTATGAGTTGACGCCATTGAGCTTCAGACCGTTCTGCAGATGCAAATGCGGACATCATAGTCATCCCATACATCTGTCAGATTTGAATCAATTATATGAAGCCTAGTCAAAATTGTCTATCTATTTTTCCTGTCGAGAACCTCTGTCTTCTAGCTCCCTCTTTTAACCCGT